AGAGCTTAATCAGGCCCTGCCCTGAACTCGGGCATTGCTGGGCACCAGCTCAGAGGGGGCACTGCCTACAGCGGGGAAGGTGGGGGCTACAGGACGCTGGGGAAGATGGGGTTTGGCTACAGGGCAGTGTTCCTGCCTCTCTTCCCCCTGGGTGTGCTTCTCTAGCTCTCTGTCTCCTCCTCTCTGTCATCTCCTCTCCTCTGAGAGTTGCCTCTGCCCACTCGGCTTCTCCCTTCCCACTGTTTGCTTTCTCCTTCTGTCGCCTCCCCCCTCTCTCTTCTCTCTTTAGCTTTCCCCCACATCCTAGGAGCTCTGGGAGGGGCAGCCTGGGAGTCCTGAGGCCGCCAGAGGCCAGCGGGGCTCTGGGTGATGGTGCATGTGCTTCTATGCACTGACCGGCAGGCTCAGGACAGGTCTTTTCGTCAGAGCCGTCCCCACAATCCTTCTCTGAAACACAGAAACCGCCAGGGCAACCATTGGCACACGAGACACGGCAAAGGTGAGGGGCAGCATGGCGCTGACCCAGCCCATCCTCTCACACGTCAGCCAGGGCTGGAGCCACTGTGCAACACGTCACAACACCACACAGACACAACCCGAGCCCTGAGACGGCACACGCACGACAATCCCCTGGCCCGCGGCTCAGGGCTGACGTCACCTGGTCCATGGCTGACCGCCAGGTGGGCTCCTGAGCCTAGAGCAGGAGCCTGGAGGGTGCACCAAGGACTTCGGGAGATGGGGTTTGCAGGGAGAAGGGAGCTGGCCCTGGGCTCTCATTGCTCTGTCCCTCCGGCCCACTCCTCCCAGCCCTGCTCGCTGACCTCTCCCCGGCCCCCCAGCCTCTGCCGGGGGATAGACAGCTCAGACCCTGCCTGGGGAGGAAGGGGGCAGATGCGATGGGCAGGGTCCCCCTCAGTCCATCTGGGTTCCCCCACGGCATTTCTGGCTTGTCCTCCTTTTTCCCATCCAATCCAGTGGGGCTTTCGTGAACCGGAGGGAGGCCCTGCTTGGTTCTAAAACCCCTTGGGCCTTACACCCCGGGCCTGGCTTCTAGCTTTCCTGGGAACCAGGGCCGGCGAAGGGAGTTTGCTCTTACCATTGTCACACCGCCAGTTGATGTTGATGCATCTGCCATTGTTGCAGGTAAACTGAGTCAGGGGGAAGCAGGTGGGATAGGCTGTCAGGGAGGAAATGTAGCTGCGTCAGGCACCCCCGACGACACAGCCTCGCAGCACCGGGCACGCAGGTGCAGGTGCTCTGGAACTAGCAGCCCTTGTGTGGCCAGACCGGAGAGAAGGCTAGGCAGCCATGCCTCAGGCCGAGACGCCGCCCTCCATCCCCACCTCCCTGAGCACCCTGTTTAGAGCTGGTAGTTACCAAGCGTGGCCCTGTGCTGAGCGTTTCTCACGCCTGGTCTCACTGAACCCCACATCAGCACTATGATACCGGGGGTGTTATCATCCCCGCTTTGCAGATGAAATGCACAGAGGCCACCGAGATTAGGTAACTTGCTCAGACCACACAGCACTAACTTGCAGGGTCTTTCAAGCCCCTCCGCCCTGCCCCCCCAGCCGGGGGGTGGGGGGGTGGTGTTCTCATGGGTGACCTCCTCCGGGCCAGCCCGGCCTTGCCGCGTCCCTCTTACCGCACGAGGCCGACTCGTCAGAGCGGTCCCCGCAGTCGTCGTCCAGGTCGCACGTCCAGGAGATGGGGATGCAGCGGCCACTGGCGCAGGAGAACTGGTTGGGCGGGCAGGTCCGAGCTGCGGACAGAGGCGTGTGAGTGCTCCCAGTCCTGCCCCCTCTCGTAACTCTCCTTTCCTTTCCTATTCTGAGTGTCACAGGAAGTCTCCCGAAGGCAGTGGTTCTCAACCTTGGCTGCACATTAGAATCACCTGGGAATCTCTTTAAAATCCTGATTTCTGGGCCCCATCCTCCAGAAATTCTGTTTCTTTATTACTAATGCTGTGGCCCCACCCCACAACAAAGAAACAGAATTTCCGGAGGATGAGGCCCAGAAATCAGGATTTTAAAGAGATTCCCAGGTGATTCTAATGTGCAGCCAAGGTTGAGAACCACTGCTAAGGGCTTCAATGCCATTTCTCCCGGAGAATTCCAAACCACCTCTGAGGCCTCACAGTGGCTGCATCGCCTCATCTCTCGAGGGGCCTCTGGCACCCTCCACAGAGAGGGCCCCCGGCCTCACTCTTATCTCCCGTCTAAAGCTGTGCTCTGTCCCCGCAGGCTCAGTCCTCCCAGCCAGCCTGGTCCTTCAGGGGAAGGGGGCAGCACCCCTCTCCTCCTGCCTGGGGCCCCATCCTCTCTGCCCCCACGCCCTGTGTGCTTTTCTTTCTGCTCAGGCCCCTCGGTCTTCTCAAGCCTGGCCCCCCGCCTCCCTGACTTAGAGGTGCCCAGGGTGGTCCACCCCCGGTTCCACACCTGAGCAAGTGGCGTTGGACTCGTCCTCACTGTTCCCACAGTCGTTGTCCCCGTCACAGAGCCAGCGGTTGGGGATGCACCGGTTGTTCTCGCACTTGAAGCGGTCTGAGGGGCAGGTGTGCTGATCTGGGGAGGGGACAGATCAGAGGTCACTGAGAGGGTGGGGCCCGCTCCCCTGGCAGGCAGAGCCCTCCACTGGCCTCCCTGCAGGCCCACCGCCACGGAGGAACGGGGAGGAGCGGGGAGGAGCAGGCGACTCACGGCAGAGGGCCGGGGCCTCGTCACTGTTGTCCAGGCAGTCGTTGTCCCCGTCGCACTTCCAGCGCTCCTGGATGCAGCGGCTGTTGGCACAGGCAAACTCGCCCGGCTGGCACTGGGGTGGGGGCACGTAGGATGGGTTCGCTGTGGGCACCACAGGGGGGTGAGGGGGAAAGTCAGACCCAGATCACGGGTCAGGTGCTAAGGCCCCTGTACTGTGCGTATTTTATTATTTAAAAATAACGCACAGAGTAATTTTACCTAGAGTGCAATTCTTCATGAGCAGGTTGTCTGGTGAAAACTGCAGCTCTATCTCAAGCCACAGGTGACACTCTAACACGCCCGCTTACTCTAAGGTGCCCGGCACTTCCCAGTGGCCGGAGGATAAGCAGCTCTGGGGAGAGTGCAGAGCCCCACCCCTTCGTGCCCCTGAGAGACCACTCCTCCCCCTCCCTGCCACCTTCACCCGCGGCTCCTTGGAAGGTGTTCCTGGGCCTTCAGGGCCCTGCCCTGTCCCTGGCTCTCCCTGGACAAATGCTCACCCACCGCAGGAGCGAAACAGGCCCAGAACTCTGCGGGCTCCGCGGTCGCCCTGCACCTCGCCTCATCACCTCTGTCTGCCCTGGGCTACTAGGAGGAAAAGCACTGCCTCCTTTGTGTCTGCATCAGTCACCTCCAGAAGCCCAGGGCAGCCCGTCCCTGGGCCTTACAGCTCTGTGCATGCCCTTTCTGGCCCATCTGTCATTCCCACTTAAGCCTTCCCATGGGCCTCGTGGGCGGCTATTGTCTCTCCCACAGCCCATGGACTACTGAGCCTGGAGGCGTCCACCTTGCTTCTCGATCCTGCTTCCCGACTGTCCTCCCTCTCTTCTCTCTGCAAAATCCACACTGACTTTCCCGTTATCTGACCATCCCACCCGACTTCTACAGGCCCCCAGGCCACGCCCTCTCATCCGTAAGGGTTTTTAGATCCTGGCTCCAGTGTCACTCTTCCCAAAACCACTCTGCTTTAATTCTTGGTGATTTCAAAGTCCGTGGAAAGGATCTTTCCATTACCCTGGCCCCCCAGTTCCTCTCTCTGCCAATGCCAATGCCCTTGCCCTCCATCTGGCCTCAGGCACCCACTCTTCGCTGTGTGCTAAGGCCCCGCTACCCAGTTACACTCTGGGATTCTACCGTCAGGAACTCACTCAGAATATGGCAAAGCATGCAGGTGTGGGAAATAGGCGAGTGGGTGATTAAGAAACGGGACCTGGATCAGACTTCCTGGGTTCACATTCCTGCTCTAACTTTGGGCCTCAATTTCTTTATCTGTAAATTGGGGATAATGAAAATATCTTTCCTACAGGAATATGTTAAGGAATAAATACGTTACTGCATGGGAAGTGCTTATAACCATGACTAGTGCATAGTCTGTGCTCAATAAATGGCTGTGATTACAACAAAAAACTGGAACTAGTCCGACCAGTGTGGTTCAGTGGTTGAGCATCAACCTATGAACCAGGAGGACACGGTTCGATTCCTGGTCAGGGCACATGTCTGGGTTATGGGCTCGATCCTCTGTGTGGAGCGTGGAGGCAGCCAATCAATGATTCTCTCTCTATCATTGACGTTTCTATCTCTCTCTCCTCCTTTCCTCTCTGAAATCAATAAAATATATATTTAAAATAAAATAAGCAAACAAAGCTGGAAACAACCTAAACATCCAACAATAGAGAAATGGTGAAGTAAATTACGGAACTTTTACTAATGAAATCTACTTCAGCCATTACAAATTCTGCTGATGTTTTCATGACATAGTGTCCAGTGACAAAAGCACAGACTAGAACAGGATGTGCAGCGGGAGTCGCCAGGAAAGGTGGAGAGAAACGTTTGGGAGGACGGCTTCCCAAATGGGAGCAGTGGTAGCAGGGGGCGCTGGCCTTTGGGGTGACTTGTACTTTCTCCTTCTATTTTCTATCATGTTTATGTATTTATTTTTACAATGAGCACAGCCTATTTTTATTTAAAAAATGAGGCTACTTAAAATAATGCAAGAATAACACAGAAAATGCTGTGACACATGTGAACTCAAAAGGGCAGAGGATATGTTGGTAGGATTTGGGCTTTTTTTTCTCTTCTCTAATTTTTTTTTAAATCCTAATGCGAGAATATGTTTCCACTGATTTTTTTTTTTTTTTTGAGAGAGAGAGGGAAAAAGAAACGTCGATCCATTGCCTCCCATATGCACTCTGACTGGGATCAAACCCCCAATCTGGGTATGTGCCCTGACCAGGAATTGAATGTGCAACCTTTTTGGTGCATGGGACGATGCTCTAACCAACAGAGCCACCTGGCCAGGGCTCTAGTGCTTAGAACTATTGATATATTACTTTAATGGTGGGGAAAATAAAGATTAGTTTCCCCTAATCTTTGTGCCCTCTCACACTCCTCTCATTTCCCCGCTCCTGGCCCCCAGAGCCTTCTCTCGCCCCACCACTCGGCTCCTGTTGCTCCAACTGGTCCCTCTTTGCCTCCTTCGTCTCTTACTGGACCCCGTGGCCTCCTCCTACTGGGGCCTGCTTCCCTGCCTCCCACCCCAGCTGGGCCCCTCGTACCCATGCAAGTGACACCGTCTGCACCCAACACCTGGTCCTCCGCGCAGGCACACTGGCGACTCCCCGGGGTGGCCAGGCACAGGCTGCTGCAGCCACCGTTGTTCACCCGGCATTTGTTGGTGCCCACTGTGAAGGAGGGTCGTGGGGAGGGGCCAGGGGAGGAGGGGGAGGACAGGGGATGGAAAGGAAATGAGAAGATAGGGGACGAGATGCATTAAAGTGAGGAGATGGAGAGGGAGGAAGCATTGAGAGGACCATGAGCATGTTGAAGAGCAGGAGACGTAGGCATGGCAGAGAGGGAGACAGGAAAGGAAGGGCAGATGAGGTCAAACAAGCTGCCGGCAGACCCCGTAGGACCCAGGCCTGACGGCATGTGCATCTCACTCTAAGGGCAAGGGCTGGGGGCCTCTCTTGTTGAGAGCCTCAAAAGTCAGAGCCCAGGATCCCAGGGGGAGTGCCTTCCGCCCGCGGGAGCCTCACCCCCCCATTTAGGTCCCACCCCGTCACCAGCCCCAGCCCCAGCCCCAGCCCCAGCCCCAGGGGGTACCTTGCTGCTGCTGAGCATCATACATGCGGATCTCAAAGATGGGGGGCCGCTCGCTACGCAGAAGGGTCACAGTGGGGGGTGCACCTTCTGCACCCCGTTCCAAGCGGTAAACACTGCCGCTCCGGTACTCAGTCCAGAAGAGGTAGTTGCCGTGGTGACACAGGCCAAAGGCATGATTCAGCTCAGGACCTTCATATACAATCTAGGAACGGAAGGGAGGCTACTAAGGAGCTGGAGACAAACAGGGGGACTGAGGAGGCCCAGAGAGACGACTGGTTTGGACCCTCATTTATCCACATCCTGGGTGTGGGTCTTATTTCCTCCATTAGCCTGGAGCCCCTGAGGCTCATAGCTTTGCACAGAGTGAGGTGCCAGACCCTGAGCCCAGCAGGAGACTGATGGAGAGCTTGTCCACACTGTCTTCTCTTGGGCCCATTCATCTCCCTCCACCACCCACGTGCACACCCATACCACACACACACACACACACACACACACACACACACACAGTACTGAGCAGACAGCCAGAATTTAAACTTGCATTTCTTCTCCCAACAAACATTTGCCAGGATTTATTAAAGGCCAACCCACAGTAGGCACTAAGAAATGAAAGACACGGGAATCTGGGGTAGAGGAGGAGGTGGCCCTGACAGTGTGCCAGGTGAGGAGGAGCTGGGCAGAAAGAACTGCGTGAGCTACAGCAGAGAGGGCAGTGCCTTCGGATGTGGTCCAGCCCCCAGACAATAAGCCCAGTCACAGATGTACTTTAACTTGTTAGAGGATTGCCTAACAGCACAACACAACATGTAAAGACATACAAGCACACAGATGTACACATCCATGGGGACACAGGTAAACACACAGGAAGCCCACAGGCTTAGCCACACACAGATGCCCACACATTCACACAGGGCCTCATCCACACATAAAAGCGATCTGGCGACACACATATGAACACCCACACAGAGGCACGCCTGCCCACCTTCCGGTCTGTGCCGTTGAGCAGTATGGTCTCGATGCGGTCATAGAAGGCATCCACCCAGTAGAGGCGCCCGGCTGGGATGTCCAGGCTCAGCCCATTGGGCCACAGCACTGTCTTGGAGGTGACAAAGATGTCGCGGTGTGAGCCGTCCATCCAGGCCCTCTCTAGCCGCCCTCGCCGACTGTCCTTGGGGTCCTCCTCCCAGTCTGTCCAGTACATCCACCTGTGGGCAGCGACGGGTCAGCACCAAGGAGCCACCCCTGCCATTAACAATCCACGTGTGTTGTCCCAGAGCCCTCACAGAGGTCTTCCTGCTCTGCTCAGCCCTGGCCCACACATTTCATTCATTTATTCCTCCATTCAGCAAATATTTGATGAGTGCCTACTGCAAGCTGGGCACAGTCTAGCACTTGGGGACCCAGAAAAGACCAAGGGCCAAGCTGGTGTGGCTCAGTGGGTTGAGCGACAACCCATGAACCAAGAGGTCACCAGTTCGATTCCCAGTCAGGGCACATGCCCAGGTTGTGGGCTCAATCCCCAGTGTGAGGAGAGCAGGAGGCAGCCAATCGATGATTCTCTCTCATCATTGATGTTTCTATCTCTCTCTCTCCCCTCCCTTCCTCTCTCTCTAAAAAAATCAATAAAAAAATTTTTAAGGGAAAAAAGAAAAGACCAAGGTAGCCTGGGCTCCTGCTCTCCTGGAGCCCATATCCCACCCAGGGAGACAGATAAGAAATAAGTCAACCAACAAGATCTCTCACATCGGAGAGATAAAAGCAGGAACACGAAGCAGGTGACGACATGGAGAGTGACCGTAGCAGGTGAGGAAGGCCTCTCTGAGGAGGTGCCGGGTGAATGCTGCCATGTGAATGCTGCGAAGGAGCTAGACCTGCAAGTACCTGGGAATCCCAGGCAGAGGGACTACAGGAGCAGAAGCCCCGAGGCAGGAACAGCTGGGGTGTCTCTTTGAGGCACAGACAAGGGGCAGTGGGAACAGAACTTCCAAGGGCAGGAAGTAAGGTGCAGATGAGGTCAAAAGAGCTGCATGCAGACCCCCTAGAACCCCGGCCTGATAAGGAATGTGGTCTCACTCTCAGGGCAGGAGAGCCCGTGGAGGGCTCTGGGCTGGGGGTGACAGGATCAGATTTCTCTGTGTGTTTGAGGCATCACTCCCATTGCACTGAAGATGGGGACATCTCCCCTTTCAGCTTCCCATTCTTGCCTAAGCATCCCACCTAGGCTGCCCTCTCCTGTTCCCTCTCCGTCTCACCTGCCACTTCTAAGACCCACAGGGTGCCTGGCCCACCCAACCCAAGGCCCGAGGAGGACTCACCCATTGAGTGGGTCCACCACAATGGCCCTGGGGTGTGTCATTTTGCCTTCTATTAAGGTCTTGCGGGTCTGAGCAGCTTTCTCCAGCCTGGCCACGCTGATGGTCTTCTTGGGCCCATCATCCGTCCAGTACAAATTGTCCCCCATCCAGTCCACGGCCACGCCCTCCACATTGTGGATGCCTGCAGGGAGTGAAGGGGACACCGATGGAAGCTCAAACGGCCTGCCCCTGGCCCTTAGGGTGCACGTACCTTTGAGCAACTTGGCTTGTAGGGAGGGCTGGGAGCCTTGTATGCCCAAGACAGTGGGTGGGACGGGGATGGGGGGATGGAGGAAGGAGCATTTGTTTTTGTGGTTATTTTTTTTTAATATATAATTTTTTATTGATTGATTTTTTATTTTTTTATTGGGAGGAAAGGAGAGGGGGAGAGAGAGAAACATCAATGATGAGAGAGAATCATTGATCGGCTGCCCCCTATACGTCCCCTACTGGGGACTGAGCCCACAACCCAGGCATGTGCCCTGAGGGGAATTGAACCCTGACCTCCTAGTTCATAGGGCGACGCTCAATCACTGAGCCACACCGGCCGGGCACAGAAGATCATCTGTGTTGCCTCTCTGTGTTAAGGCACAGAGCTGTACGTGACAGCCAGCACACCTCCGTGGCGGATGCCGGCTCTCGGGTGGGGCATGTCTGGGCCTGAGCGAGGTGGACAGCTGCGGCAATGTGCTCTGGGCACAAGTGTGACGCCACGTCCCAGCCCTAAAACTCCTGAGCTGACAAAATGAATAAATCAGGAAGTGATTTTTCACTTAGCAAAAGGCTTCGTCTTCAGTGCCCTTTAAATAGCAGTTCCCCTGGTATAGGGAACCCCAATCTTTTCGTGATGAGGAATTACTTTTGATTTCTCCAGAGTCTTATGACTGCTGACTGCTGAGGTTCTCTGGCCTGTGGGGAGGGTGGGGAGCAGGGCAGAGGGTGGTAACTGGTGTCAGCTAGTTGCCCAGCCCTACCCTGGGGCCCGTGTGCAGCTTGGGAATCCCTCACGTAGGCCAGGAAGAGGCAGAGCTCAGCCCAGACCCATGCAGGTTCAGAAGACAGTGCCCTGGTGACCTGCCCCAGGAGCTCAGAGGGAAGAACTGACTCAGTCCACAAAACACCATTTCCTGCCCTGGCGGGTTTTCTCCGTGGTTAGAGGGTCGGCCCTCGGACCGAAAGGTCACGGGTTCCATTTCCGATCAAGGATGCATACCTTGGTTGCAGGCTCCATCCCCGGCCTGGGCCAGGGCATGTGTGGGAGGAGGCAGCCAATTGATGTGTCTCTCTCACACCCATGTTTCTCTTTTTTCTCCCCCTCCTCCCTCCCTTCAACTCTCTAAAAACCAATAGGAAAGTATCCTCAGGTGAGGATTTAAACAAACAAACAAGCAAACAAACAAACCACACAGTTTTCTCAGAACGTGTGAGCGCGCAGCGCTCGGCAGCGCAGACCCTGCCTGAGGGTGTGCCTGCTCTGATCCAGGGCTCCAGGCCTCCCCCGGGCTGTGTGCGACGTGCAGCTCCAGGGCTCGGAGCCAATGGCTGAGAGACCCTGAGTTTTCCCAAGGGCTGGCAAGGACAGCCCACGCCATCCATCCATCCTCCTGCCTCTTGTCTGCTCAGCCAAGAAGGGGGTCACCCAGGGGTCAGTCTGTCATCCCCTCATCTCCATGCCAACCAGCCCAGCCAGCCAGTCAGCAGAGGGCGGGGGCACCGGGACAGATGTCTAGGCCCCAAAGCGCTTCCCATCCCAGGTGGGCGATGCCCCTCGGGAGTCCTGTCCACACGCCTCCCACCTCCGGGGCCCTTACCGTCCTTCAGGATGGTCTCGCGCTCAGTGCCGTCGATCTTCTGGCGGCCGATGAGGTAGCTGGTGGTGTCGGCAAAGTAGATGAAGCCGCTCTCAGCGTGGAAGTCCAGGGCTCGGGGGTTCATGAGGTTCTCGATGGGGATCATGTGCTCGTCTGGGACCTTGGCCCCCATGTCCATGCCCCGGATGATGCCTGGCCGGCCCTTGCCATACACAAGGAACAGCTCGTGTTCTGGCTCTAGGGCAGGCATAGACGGAGGCACAAAGTCAGACACACACATGCATGTGCACACACGCCCCCCCCCCCCCCCCCCCCCCCCCAAGGGGCTGCAGGGCCCCTGCTGTACTGGGTCAGGGGCTGTGGGGGCAGCAGTGGCTCTGGGTCACAGGGACAGACAGACAGACGTATAAGGCTCAGGGGACAACGCCCTGGAGGTTTTACCTTCCCCAGGAGTGGGAAATGGGGCAAGTGTAGCAAGTAGCATGTTTTTAGTGACGTGTACTGCTCGGTAATGAAAGCAGTGGCCCCAAAGGAGCACCTTCAAACTATGCTGGCATCTGACCACTTCCCACCGCTTCCTCAGCTAACGTCCTAATCTCAGCCACTTCACTTCTTGCCTGAACTGGCTGCGGCCCTCCTCACCCCAGCAGCCAGTGTGATGTCACTTCTCTGCTTGAAAGTCGCCAAGCCCACACGGCCTCAGAGCCTTGGCGCCTGGGTTCCCTCTGCCCTTCCCGCAGGCAGCTCCTCACTCACGGATCGCTCGGCTCAAACTCCACCTCTGCGGAGAAGTCTTCTCTGGCTGCTCTATCTACACCGGAGCCCTCAGGTCATCGCTAACTCTGCTCTCCATTTATTTTCTTCCTAACACCTACCACCACCTGAAGTTTTATATTTATTTGTCTGTCTCCCCTGCCAGACTGTACGCCCTGGAGGACAGAGATGACATCTACCTGTTCACTGCTGAATTCTTATTTTAGGACAGCGCCAGACACACAGGACATGCTCACTACTTACTTGGGGAAGGAAGGAAGGGAGGGAGGGAGGGAGGGGAAAGGGGGCCAGTTTACAGTCTTCTTTGGAGCTGGAGTGGGATAGTGGGAAAAGGCTTGTTTTCAGATGTGGGTTCAAGTTCTGTGACTGTCCCTTACTAGTGATGAAACTTTGGGTAAATACCTTCATCTCTCTTCATCTCAGACAGAAGTGGTAGGGCTGTGGGGAGGCGGGTAAGGACACCCTCCCACCCACCCCAGCAGGCACGCCTGCCCACCCTTCACTCACTCTTGCACGACTTCCCATCACTGCCCAGGCTGAAGCCGGAGCGGCAGCGGCAGGTCCGCGCTTTGTGGCTGTTGGCCAGCAGGCAGATGTCGGAGCAGCCACCCGGCTTCCCGTACTGGTCGTTCTCGCAGGCGTGGCTCCTCACTAGAGCGGGAGGGGGGGGGGGGGGGGGGGGCGGTAGCTGGTCAGGACCCTCACCACACCCCAGCCACTCAGGTGGGGGCCGCTGTGGCCAGGGGGAGTCCCACGGCTGCCCATGCCAGCGGCTTCTCCTCTAGACCAACCAGGGGAGGGACGGGAGGAGCACTCTGTGTCCTTGGCAGAGGGGAGAAGAGGCCCCCTGGGGGTGGGATCTGGATGCCGAGGGGCAGGAAGGGGCTGTCAGAGGGATGAGTGGCCAGGGGTGTCGTATGGTAGAAGAAGCAGTCATGACACGAGATAATTGGGGGTTCCCACAGGGGGGCCCCTGGAAGGGGTGGGGAGCTCTGCTCACCTCGGGGCTGACGCCGCTGGTGGTAGATGTGGAGGGCGCCCCCCTTGTCCACACGGGTGACGACCTGGTAGTCAGTGCTGTTGAAGCGGTTCACGCGGATCACGCTGGTCTTCTGCTGGGCGTTGGCATTGTCCGAGTTGGTGGCGTAGAGGTAATTCTCAAACACGGTCAGGCCGTACAGGTGCTCAATCTGAGAGGGGCAGGCAGCATGGTCAGCACAAGAGAAAGAACTCCTCCCTCTGTCTCGGAGAGCCCCTCAGCTTCCCATCCAGACGCCATTATCTGTGCTCCTAACGCCATTCCACCGCCGCCTATCGCTACGCTTTCCTCCTCCTCTGGCTGGGCTACCCCGTTGTTGAGCTCTTCGCGTGTCAAAACCCCACTCATCCTTCACAGAGCGTCTCTTCCAAGAGCTTCCGGAACCAGGGATGCTCTCTCCTTCCGCACTCCATTTCTCTAGGGTTTTTTTTGCACTGCCTGGTGGTTTGTAGACTGAGCCCACCCAGTCTGCTCAGATCCCTTGAGGACAGAAACCACATCCCCCGCAGAGCCAGGCGTACAGTGGATGATGGCATGATTCCGATTAAATTGGAGTTGAGACCTAAACTCTGTCCACAGAGAACATTCTTAACCCAACTCCAGCGTCCCGTGAGGGGAGGGTCGAGAGGACAGACTGGCCCTGTAACAGCCCGGCTGCCCACATAACTTATCTATTATCTAAGGTAACCAACTGTCCCAGTTTGTCATGGGACTTTCAGGACTAACACCAGGAAAGTCCTGGGCAAACCGAGATGGCTGTCACCCTAATCATCCCAGAATGGAGTGCCATCTGCGCTGGCAGCGCTTCTAGACGAGGTCCAAGGGCTATTTCCTGTGACCTCAGGCAAATCCCTTAACTTCTGGAGCCCTGCTATTCCCATCTGCCGAAAATGAACTGCACCTATCTGCTCATCCGTCTCCCAGGGGTCACTGTAAGGATCAAATCGGAAAAAGGAAGCCAAAGGTATCTCTAAAATGACTGTTCCCATCGGGGTGGAAGCCATGTCCTGTCCTTTCCCCAAAGTGCTCATGACCACCCCGGCCCCCCAGAGGGCCCCCCCGGGTCCCCTGCGAAGGCTCCCCCTCACCAGGATGCCCTGGATGATGGTCTGCCGGCCCTTGCCCTCGTAGTCCACCACCTCGATGTAGTCCAGGTAGGCGTCGGCCCAGTAGACGAGGCGGCTGACCAGGTCCAGCGTGATGCCATGAGGAAACACAATCTTGCTATCGACCAGCTTGGTGCGGTTCTGCCCATCCATGTCGCAGCGCTCCACCTTTGGGATCTGCCCGTAGTCGGTGAAAAACACTTTCCTGTGGGCAGATGGCACATTACAAGAGTTCTGGACGCTGGGTACCCACCCTTCCACCGTAGCTTCTGCCTCCCCCTTTCCAGGGCAGAGCCCTCGTACCCCATGGTAGGGTCCAGTGCGATGCCCTTGGGGTTGTAGAGCTCCAGGTCCAGCAAGGTGACACACGTGTCGCCATTTCGGTTGCAGACGAAGATCCTATCGTCGATGTCATCCACAAAGTAGAAGTTGCCCGTCAGCCAGTCAATGGCCATCTGCTCTACGTCTGGAGAGTGCGAATGAAGGAGCGATGGGGGAGGTGCTCCCGCAGACATGCCCACCCTGCGCTCCTGCAGAGCCCACTCCCTCTGGGTGCTCCCCTCCACCACCCAGGCCACGGCCGGCCCTGCTCCCTGAGCGCCTATGGGAGTTACCAGAAGCCGTACATTTTGCCTTGAGATCTTTGCCATCTTCCCACCTTTCGGGTCTCTCCCAGGAGAAGTCTCAAAGTACCTTCCCACACAGCCCCACTCCCCATGCCGAGGCAGGGCAGGCACACAGGGGCACGGGGCACAAGCTTCCCTAACTCCAGCCCCTCGCGAAGCAAATCTTGGAGTCCCCAAAGATGGTGAGGACAGGTTCACTAGCTCATTTTAGGTTGTTGTTTTTTTTTAAAAAAATCTGCTTTTATTTGAGATAAGAGCACTCAGGCTAATTAAAACATCACGCAATGTTTGGCCACTCACACAATTCTTTATTTTTAGCTGGACTTTCACATATGGTAAGCCAAGTTACCCCATGCTAGCCAGAGCACTGACTGGAAGCTGTTAAATGTTGCATGACTCTTAAAAAATGGAAAAGCAAGCACTTGTCAATAAATCCAATCTGAGAGAAAAGAACGCCAAAACATGGGGCCCAGATGGATGGAAACGGGAAGGCCCCTGGTGGCCGAAGGTTGGATCCAGTGACGGAGGCCACACTTCCTCATTCACCCCCATTCCTGTTTCTTCAATGTTCCTATTGCTCAATGTCCTTATGTTAGGGAGGGCTGGAGGGGAGAGCATAAGACTCTGAAGGCAAACTGAGGCATGGCTGAGCAAGAGGGCATGTCCTTATGTTAGGGAGGGCTGGAGGGGAGAGCATAGGACTCTGAAGGCAAACTGAGGCATGAGGGGCAGCTCCAGAAGGCTGGGTGTGGGGGAGGAGGAGGGAGACGAGAGCCACACTCAGTCCACAGCCATGCGTCTGGAGAAGGTGCGAGAGGCCAAAAAGCTAAAGAGAGTAGGGGTGGGATGAGGGCAGCGGGAAATCTAGGAGGCGGCAAGTCTGAGGACAGGGACCCCGGCTGACCTCCTCTGGGCCCCTCTTCTCCTGGGCCCACTGGCCACCCACTGTCTTCTCCAACTACCACCCTCAGAAGTGATGCCTCTTGCAAACTGGAGAATTCCAAGACAGTGACTCCCTGGGACCCCTGCCTTGCACTCCACCTCCACCAATTTCCCCAACAGGGAAAGAAATCTCGGGATGACCTGCCTTTGGTCGATCGTACCCCCTTTACTCACACTCGACCCAGTGGGACTCATTCTGCCCCGCGCAGCTATAGGTGTGATGACTGGGAATCCAGCTCAGCCCCTCCTGATCCTTCCCCTCCCGAAAGGGGCTCAGGGTCTGTTTCCCGACAGTGGGTGGGGGTGGGGGGCAAAGAAATTTGAGATTCTCATCAAACTGGTTTCCTCTTCAGGTCCCCCCTGTTGAAACCCACTCCAAGGTGATAGAGAAAGGTCACATGGATGAGTTATCTCTGTAAGTGCTGATGCCCCCGCACCCAGCCACTCTCTCCTCTGGGCCCTGGTGCCAGCATGAGCGGAGAGAAGGGTGTAGCGGCCTGGGATGTGAGTCCCAGGCCAAGGAGGAAGAGGGCCCAGTGCAGGGGTGAGGTGATCAAAACGCCCCACACACCGTTACCACAGAGAAATCAGATTACAGTGAGCGCTGCTGGGCTGCCTCCAGAGGAAGCCAAAGTCCCAAAGTTCCAAAGGGAGGGGGACCTGCCCACAGCCCCAGGAAGCCAGCAGGGTGGGTGGAAGGCAAACAGGGCTGGGTGCCCTTTGCTTGGTGGCGCGGTGGGGGTCTGGGGGCTGCTGGCACGTGGACGAACTTCATCACTGGAAGCTGTTTCCCCAGCACCAGCTGGTGCAGCTGGGTCCTTCTCTCCGTTTCCTGAGGCTTCCCTGAGTCACTGCCCAGCCCCAGGCTGGCAACACCCTGCCCTGCTCCCCACCCACCCCTCCCTCAGCAAGAGGGGAGGAAGAAGCCTGAAGAGGCCAGCGCCCCCTCATCAGGTGCAGCCCATTCCCGGCTGAGCCCCAGGACAATGCTGACCTTCACTCCGGGCCTCCCTCCTGGCCTGTGTTCCCTCCGAGTTCCAGGAAGGGACCATCCTGCTCTCAGATATTTACCCTTGGCCGGTCTCCCCTTCCACCTCCCAAAAGCCAGGCAGGGCCCCACTCAGCAGGCCGGTGAGGAGTTGGCAGGAACTGGAGTCCCCAGCCCGGTTTGGCCTCCCCTTTGGTATTTTTGCAGCTGGAGACTATTAGTTGCAAGCAAAAATCCTTTGTTATCCAACCCCCTCCACCACATTATTTTCCTCTCCCCTAAAGTCCAGATTCCTCTGCCCGCCCCACCACACATAGAGGGGGGGGCGCATGCACACACACACACACACACACACACACACGCTGGGCCACTCACACAGTTCTACGGCCAGCACAGAGCTGGGCTCAGACTGGGAGAGGGCGCCTTCGCCTTCTTTCAGGGCTCCCTCTGTCCGTGGCATGGGGGGCAAGTGGAGTTCTGGGGTTGTGCCCGAAGACCTGAGCATTCTGGTCCTACACACTCTGAGGGTTTGCTCTTCGTGGTCCAGCCTTCTCAGGGCCGACCCACCTCAGTGCACCCTCCAGAGGGGCTCTGGCTTAAGGCCCCAAACCCTGAGGACAGGAGAGTCTCAGGTAAACCCCAGTGGAGAGAGGCTGTGTTGTGGGAGGAGTTTGGGGTGGTGGTGGTCTGGAGTCCTAGGAGGTTGGGATTCCAGCAGAGAGAAGGCCGCTAGGACGCTGGGAGGGAGAGGACAGACCGCAGCCTGCCTGTGATGTCGCAAAGGACTTTCAGTTCCAGGCCCCAGAATAGACCTGGGGTGTGTGCTTTTAGATGCTGCACCCTCCCTATACCCTGACCCCCGTGCTCAGCACCCTGAACTCCCCACAACTCCAGTTTTCTCTCACCGTCTCCGTCATTCACAGTGTTCAAGAGGCATTTCCCTAAGTAGTGGCTGCTTTTCCAAAAAGAACAGGCCCCACCCCATTCCCAAGAAGACCCCAGCTTCAGCTGCAGGATTCCAGTCACTCTCCCTAAAATAAATCCCGGGAAGGACGGGGCCTCTGAGCCCTGAGGAAATATCCTTAACACATCCACACACCCAAATGTTGTAGGTTAGGGTGCAAGGACCCGGGGTGAGGAAGAAGAATCCCATTAACCATAACCATAACCATAACCTTGGTGAACACATTGCATCTGTTCCTTATTTCAGGAACCTCCCCACCTCGCTCATCACTCTGTTCTGCCCTGGGCCCAGCCTCGGTTTGAATCATCATTCTGTCACCTCCTGTGGGACTATGGGCAAATTACTGAATGTCTCTGAGTCTCAGTTTGCTCATCTGTAAAATAGGATGGTGCCTTAACAACAGCACATAGCACAGGGCCTGGCCGACAATAAACAAGACACAAATGGGAGCTATGGTTTGTACCATGGTCCTCCTTCACCTCCATCCTTTCCGTCCCCACCTTTCCCACCCAGTGACCATCTGTGCCTCCAGCCAGAGTCCTACAGCCGCCTGACTAAAGATAGACCCTCCAGGTGGGCAGTGTACAGGCTCCCATGGCCCCAGCAGTTCCATTTACCACAGCCTGTTTACCTGACTACAAATACTGAGAGGTCAGGGCACTTTTATCTTTGTCCCCAGCTCTTGACACACATGTACTGATTCATTCAACAAATATTTATTGAGTACTGAGTCCTCACTCGGTCGTCCTAGCGTCGGGACATCACTTTTTCCCTCCCCTTTACTGACAGAATCCTCCTTCGCTGGCCTCTGGATGCCCAAGACAGCGGGAGAAGACATCTGTCTGGTAATCCTCCTGCTCGGGCGGGGGGAGGGCTGGGGAGATGATCGGGAGTCTGGGGCTTGGCAGAACATTGCTAAATGGCATGTCCTCACGATCCTGCTTCCTGCCAGGTCCTGACTTCAGCTCTTCTTGTTCCACCAGCAAGTCTGGGACTCGGCCACACAGTGTCACCTCTGTCCCCTGGGCCCCCTCCCTGCTCAGAATTCCACCTGGGGGGGGGGGGGCGGTGTATGCCCTGCTTCCTTCCCCTGCCTGGCCCCAGTCCACAAAGTATTCAGTCTTGGGATGAGATGACTGGATTCTGCAGCTCTGATTCAGAATCAGAACCAGGTCTTTCCGCTGTTGAGAAATCCTTACTGGGCTCTAAAACACATCTCTCTTGCTTAAGTTCCTTCCTTTGGCTTGAAAACAGTAGGGAGGGGGTGTTGGGAGCAGGCTGGGGAGAGAGGCGACTTCAAGGAGACAGCGGGGGAGAAGACAGGGCTGGAGCTATGCCAGAGACACAGGGCTGTCCCTGGCCTGGGAGAGGGGAGGAGGGCTGTTCAATGATAGAAAACTCAGAATGGGAATGGGAAGCAAAAGCACCAGGATGCGGAGGGCCCAAGGCCAGAGTGGGGTGGCTAGAGCCCCTCACGATTCTGACACCCTGTGGGTACGAAAGGCCAAAGAAGGGGTAGCTGGCTTTCTTACATGGCCTGTAAGGGTCCCGTAGGTAGGGGATGGGAGGCTGAGAGGGCGTGGGGTGTCAGTTCAGTGGGAAGACAGCTCCCCTTCCAGCTGGGGAAGCCAGTTCCTCACAGGCTCAGACGCTGCTCTCTGCCCTCTCTCTGCCTTCCTTCCAGACAAATCACTACCCCATTTCCTGTTGTGACTTTAAATGCGAGCACACACACACACACACACACACACACACTCGGGAGGGAAAAGAAAAAAAGAAAAGTGAAGTTGGCCAGCTGGAATTGGGGACCCATTTCGCAACGTGCTGCCTGCAGCCTCCAGGGCCTTTTCTTCTTCCTAGGGGGTCTGCCTCCTCCTCCCCCCGAGCAGCACGGGGCAGGGGAGGAAGCCCTAGGACCTCCGAGAGCCCCTCCAGAGCACTCCCTCATGCACAGGCCAAAACGAAGTGACTCCGAAAATCTTATTTCCTTCAAGGCTCTATTACAACCTTGGAACCTCCCTTTACCCACCCTCCCCTCACACACACACACACACACACACACCTTCCCAGGACCCACGCCTGCTCCTGCCCTTATTCTTCTCACAGTGGAAATAACCTCAGAACTGAAGGGACTGGGCAGAGGAGCGCAGC